TTATAAATAGTTAAAAACTGTTTAATTTGTCAAGTTAGGCAAAATATTGTTCGAAAAATGATAAGTTTTTATGTTATTGTTGTAATATTTAGCCCCCGTTTGACACCCATTATTTTGAAGAATGAGTTTTTGAATAGTGATTGATGTAAAAAATGTGTGGTTAAAAAGTAAGAAGAATTTTTGGGTTTATGTGTAATATTATTTTATTTGGAGAATGTGTGGTTAGAAATGAGTATTGTAGAAAAATGAGAATGAGAATGCGATAAAAAATGGATGTCAAACGGGGGCTTAGTCTTTGCTTGTTTGAGTTTTCAAACTTTCATTATTCCTTTAAATGATACAAATCATGAGTATTTATAGTGTTACATGTGAAGTCATGACCGTTGGATGAAGAGCATGAGGCTTCATTCGAACCACTGAGACATCCCATCATCACTTGGTCTGTGTTGCATTTAATGCATCTTAAAAAGGGCAGCCGCCCTACGGTTTTCATCAAATCTTCACAAAGGATCTTCTTGGAAAATGTTTCTGGCCCGAACTTTGGATTCTAATAGAACTTCCATGTCATTTCTTTGACAAAACTAGTATGGAACTTTCAAGGTTTTGAATGTTCATTAGACAAAAAGTTGACAAATTGCTTCTTCCTTTTGCCAAGATGTGCTTTTGCCATGCTTGCTTCCATCCAATGAAACTCTTGAAGCGATAATGTCCACAACAAAACTAAACATAGAATGCTAGAACACTAAGAGAAGTGGCCATCAATGAAGGCATGCTTTGCACTTGAAAATACTGTAGTCATTGTTTCAATATTAATGGATGTGAGAACTTGGGCTGCATCTATTCTAAATTGCCTCCAAAAGCTTGATACTGAGAACAAATTTGTTTCCTTAGTTTCCATAATCAGCAATATGCGACACTTCTATTTCAAAACAGGAGTAACCTTTTACTTGTGGATGTCCAAATCCTAAGCTGGTTAACTTCTATTGTTGCACTCGTTCTCTCTTGATCCAGTTATTTCATACAAACTGGAATATCTATTTGTTCACTTTGACGGAGTCTTCCATGACTAAGCCATTTATCTCTATTTGAACAAGGCCTTGGTATGGGCACCACTGGCACTAT